GGTAGTGTTGGTTACCAAACACTTGCTTTTCCAAACCTCATAGATCATATTTTATGGATCTAATATTTCCCAAAAGAACAAAATCCCTTCAACATTTATTGGGAGAAAAATGCCAGGAATCAAGGACCAACTCAGAAAACTCAGGGTGGGATATTGAACCAAAAAGTTTTAGGATCCCACAATTGATTGTCATGCCTAAGAAAGACAAGGAAATGATCAGAGACATTTCCAGGGAAATCCCGCTGAGTCCTGATCCCCAACAGTCCCATAAACCCTGAAAAATCAGAATCAGATAAAGTCTAGTAACCTCCCTTCCATAAGGTTGGAATTGGGTAAAATTCTTACCCAAAAGTGGAAGATCCAAAAGGTTCATATAGGAATTAAAAGAAGACAATTTAGCCCATTCTAAATGACTAGAAAGGTTAGAATATCCATCACTCCCTCTCCCATCGCTAAACGAGAATACAAAGTTGAAATCTCCTAAGACACACTAAACAACACCCCCAAAGATTGGACTTACATGAATAGGGCTTAACCCATATGGATCTTTTGTCTGATAACGTAGATTTGTAATACACATTGAAAATAAAACAGACCAACTTAGAGATTCCCCATTCTAAATAGACATCCAGATAACCCAGACTTGTGAAAGAGAAAATATACCTCGTTTTCGTACTACATCAAATAGATAGGATAAAACCATTGTTACCTTTAACAAGTTTAAAGCTCCAATCACAAAAATAATTGCCCAAAGGGAGTGAACATGAGAATCATAAATTTCTTGGAGTTTTGTCTCTTAAATGACCACAAACTTCAAAGAATTAGCAAGAATAACATCTTCTACCTTCCTCTTTTTAATTCTACCCCTAACCCCATAATATTAAAGAGAACACTAATATCTACCTGTAGACCTATACATCTGGGATGCACTTTTCTTTCTATATCTCCTTTCCAAAACCATCAACTTCACCAACTCAACCTCATCACTTATTAGATATTCAAAACCAACAGCTTTGTAACCCTAAAAATTTTAGAGGCTATAACACTATCAACATCCTCAGAAACTCCATATGAAAGCTTCACCAAGAACTATGAACTTGAAGGAGAAGGAAAAGAAGAGCCTTATGAATAAACAAATAAAGAAAACTTTGAGAATTCAAACCACCCTCTAGCAACAGATTAGGAACAATATCATACTATAAGATACCAACAGAAGAACAAAATCAATATAAGGAAAAGTCATACCTATCCCCAAGGAGGAGTGGGGAACATCTAATTTGAATGATCTAGGATATGAGTTAAGCTTGAGTCCAGTACCTATAATTCCTCACGATGAACTGACGGAAAATAAGCCAAACTAGAAAAAGATCGACCCAAAGATTCTGAATTTGCTTCATCAGATAAATGAGATTTGAAGCCCTTAATTGGCCCATCATAAATTTCCAATTCCCTAGAAACACGTGTCACATACATGAGGGAGAGAGAAAAAGATTTAGGGGTTACTTCTACAATCCTAAATGGTGGAGAAGTACCCTGTAGGAATTTGAAAATGCCCTTGTGAATATGGAAGTACATCTCTGGAAGCACCCATTTCAAACAAAAACACATTCTAAGTGATACACACCTTTATTTTAACAAAAACAAGTATGGAAGTGTATCTCTGGAAAAAACCTTCAACGATTTTGTTCATTTAAGAACTCAGTGACAAATACAGAAGTACACTTCAAAATTTGTCAAGCAGAATCTTGAAAAAATACCACCTTTGCATTTATTTTTTACAACTTAGTGACAATTTCAAAAGTGCATTTTTGAAACTGTGAAGCAGGAAATTTAATAAAATAACACCTTGCATGTGAAGTGAGATTGGATTTTATTTTTCACGAAGCCAAACAAGCTGAGAATGTAGGTTCAAATAGCTCAAAGTGTGAGTATACATTTAGGAAGACATACAATTTTCCACATGCTTGTTTAATTTCAACGAAGGTAAAGCCTGATAGTCCAATACAAATGGATGATGTTTACACCCACTAGAAAAAGGCCCCTGTTTGATGAAAATGGTATGTTGAAGGTTGGTAAATCATATATATCTATATGGACCGAAGGGGAAGTGATTCAAGAGAGATTTTTGAAAGGGATGACAACATGAAACTCCATATCAAAGAGCAATTGAGGAAGACTGATTATCCATAAACCACCAATTTGAAACAACAATCACAATCAATGAAAACAAAAGGTGCTCCTAAGAAGGTTAAACCAACGCCGAGTAACAATTCAACAAAGCAGTCTCCTTCCTATTTTGAAGATGTTGACACACTTTATTTTCTAGATTCTCCAACTTCAAAATCTAAAAAAAAAGTGTTTTTTTGAAGGTGCTTGCTTTAGCAAACAATCTCTTACACCACCTTTAAAAAAAATCAAATACATTATGTTAAGGGTGACGCTAACTGCGGTTGTCGAGTTATTTCAGCTTTTCTCAGTAAAGGAGAGGAGAACCATACACTTGTTAGCCAATAACTTATAAAAGAATTAATGGCGGATAAAGAATCATACACAATGCTAAACAAGAAAGAGAAATTTTGATTCAATTCATGAATCTCTTATTCTTTGTGTTAGCGATCCAACATCGCAGGAAAAATTGATGACTTCTTTGAATTGGGCTATCTTATAGCAAATGCATAAAATAGGGCATGTATTAATCTAACAAGATACAGGTTCTAAAAAACTTTTTTTTTTCTAATTTGGAGTGCTTCACCTCAAAATCTAACCAATCACATTATGTGTATTGAGCGACTTTCAAAATTACTCTATTTTGTTCAAGTTTAGTTGAAACCGAGATGCCATATACCGCAGACATCACCGAAATGGACAACTCATTCAACAAAGGAAATGGAAACTTGGCTGGATCATTTTTTGGATAGGATTGAAGAATTCGCCAAGTTGAGCGAGATTGAAAGATAATAAAATAAACATAATTCAAATGTGAAATCACCCATAAATATAGATTTAGGTTATGACACATGTTTTGATTCATTTTAGTTTTGGTATGTAACGTTGAATTGATATTAATGATATAAATGTATACATTTTCATACATTTTAATATATATTTTAGCTTTCTAAAATTTTCAACGTTTTTGTGTTTTGTGATAGGTTCTATTTTTGTAACGGCTCTATGTGGGGTGAATCCGAAAATACATTTTGAAACGTACTTTAAAGTGTTTCAAAATACTAACTGGGGTTTATTCGAAAATACATCTCTGAATGCACCCCATATTATTTTAAAAAAAAAATACTAACAAGGGTTTATTCAAAAATGCATTTCCGTATACACCTAAATTTTACAAAACGAAACATGGTGGTGCATCTAGAGGTACATTTCCAGAAGATCCTTTGAGACATGATTGAGTTTCTATAGTCCATATTGATCTAAAACTTGTATAAATGTGGGTGTCACTATATTTATTAACACAAACACACACAAAACACACATAGAATGTCTCAATATGCATATATCTCACTTTTGTCCATTTCAACGGTGAAAAGCCTCTCTTCAATTTAGATTCGCAGAGATCACCTGTCTTGTCGATCTGAAATCAACTTTAGGGAATTTTTATCCAGACAACAAAAGAGTTGTGAAACTCTACTATGGTCCACCTTCAATTGACAACGAAGGGAAAATGAAGTTCATCAAGTTTGATCTAAAGATGAATGAAGATTTAACTGTTATGTGAAGTATATTTCATCGTTACGAAACAAAATGTCCGATCGAGGTGCATGTGAAGATTTCAAGATCGACCAAAGATATTTTAAAGATGCTAAAACGTCCTCAACCATCACTTGATGATTAAGTGTAATATAAGATTTATATTAACGATTATCTAAGTAATGTTCCGTTTTTAATGTATGTTATAAAAATGTTTGAGATTAATTTACACTACAAAAAAACACTAATTTTTCACTTGAAAACTACTTCACAATCCAAAATATCACGTCGCAAATTCAAATTAGCGACGTGATCATACACATCGCAGGAACGCAACCCGCAACTTACTTGCGACATAAAAAACACTATACAACTTTGCCATGTGGTAATCACGAGACTAACATCTACGTAGACATTACTCCAGATCATTTCTAGCCTTCCAATTATCTACAAAACCACTCTTGACTGCCTTACTCATTCCTCTACCGATCCAACTTGTAAAGAAATTAAAGAAATTCATAAGAGGTGAAATCGTGAAACCTAACCATGGAACACTAAATTCCCCACAACAAGAGAAAAGTGACATCACTATAGTATTATGAGGAAACTGAATCTGCAGCAACGTCTTCCCATGCACACGCAAAAGGGAACGTCCCTCGTACCTCCGCACAACCATCTTCAACAACAACAGTATCACGATCATCATCTTGAGAACAAACCAGATTAAGTCTAGAGGCCCTTGCACTAGGTTTGGTTATAACTACCCCATTAAGCTGCGATTAATGCTTGTTAATGTTCTTGACATCACTATATTTCAGGAAACCAAAACCCTATCCAGCTTTGTTGCGTTTCTCTGGAATAAATACTTCCACCACTGAACCATATTCAGAAAAACTACGACGAAGGCTTGCAACCGAAACATGTTCCGGGAAATTTGAAATGAGCCATATAAAGAAGAAAACCGGATGCGAAAAAAAGGAGGAATGGAAGGCTAAGATGTAAAAGAAAAGGAATGCAGAGAAATATGTAATGAAATGTAAGACAGTAAAATGATACGGGAACCAGGTAACTCACAGTCCCATTTGAATGAAATAAGGAAGAAAATAAAACATTTTCACAAAACAAAAATATTATGCTACACAACTCAAGTTCAATTCAGTGATTAAAATGTTCCAAATAGGACTTTGTATCTTTCTTGAAGAACAAGAAACGGTATTATACATCTCAATTCAGTGATTCAAATGTTCCAAATAGGACTTTGTTTTCTTTCTTGAAGAGCAAGCAACAGTATATACATCTCAATTCATGAAATATATCTTGCACCAAATGGGAGTCAACTTCAACCCAATGATCCGAATCTCTGAGTTTGCGCGTCCTCTGAGAAAAACATCTGTTAACTGCAAAAAGGAAGTATATAACATTCAAAATCTTGTCCAACAAATCAGCTAATTTCTTCGTATAAAGACTCGACGAAATCATGTTTATGTATTTATTCACGACTTGATGATGATGTCGATCGCTAGAAATGCCTTTGCAAGAGTTACTTACCTGCGAACATCCAACAAGTTTAAGGGTCCTCAGCGACAAGCAGTGATCGACAATTAAACGTAAATCATTGTCGGTGAGATTTCGACAGTGTGATAGATCCAATGTATGCAGATTTTTGGCATTCCTTGCAAGTGACAAGGCTGTCAAATGGCCAACCTGGAATAAACCAAAATGTCACAGACACTGAAAAATAAATTGATATGACTTTAATTCAAGAATCGATTGAGTCGATATTGTAAATAACAATCATAAGAGTTGGTTATGAAATCAATCTTTGACAGATAAAGATAAAACAAATTGCAATTGAGAGGAATTAGGCATGAAAATATGTAAAACATTGTTACCTTTTCAATGCTATTAAGTGAAAGTTCTTCCAAGTTTTTACCAGCAATTTCCAAAAAAGCCGCAATTGCCTCATCACTGTATTAAGATCAAGATTACATGCAGTAAGCACTCTGAAACATCATCCAAAGGAACCTCAAAAAGTATAACTGAGACCACCTGAATGGACTGCGACCGAGCTTCAAAATATTCAATTGTCGAAATCTATTCTTAAAAAATATTAGAGATGAATCTGTCAATTTGCACAAATTTGTAATATCAAGCACATTCAGCGTACGAGAAAAATCAGCAATGAACCTCATCGATAGATTCTTTAAATTTCTGCACAACAATGAACCAGAAAGCCTAACTGAGAAGTAACTTTTCGCAATATAAGAAAGAATAATGAATCACACTACACTTACACGCAGTCCTTTAAAACAAGACCCTTAATGTTGCGACCGCATGCCATGATGTAATCCTTGATAAACTCATGAGAAAGATCTCGAATACCAGCTAGGGACAGCACTTGTAATTGTTTAAATCGCTTCAAAGCTTGCAAAATCCCTTTAGTATTAAAGAAATTGAAGCCATCGATATATAAGTCTTTCAGAGTTGATCCAAATGAATCAGCCAAAATGTCAAGACCAGCGGCAGTGAGTCGGACACATTTGGTTAGATTCACATATGTAAGTGCTTTTACAGAAGAAACAAGTAAATCCAATCCTGTATTATTAAGTTGGTATGCACCACTGATGGATAGACTCGTTAGTTTAGACAAGGAGTTATATGGTTTTGCTAAAGTTTCAGATACTGTTTCATCAGTTATAATCGAACCACACTTGTCAAGTTGTAGTACCTATTCCAGAAAATAAGAATGTTGTAAAGAAAGAAACACGTTAAATTGTAACAAGAATGGAAGAGTTGAATATGATGAACATACCTCTAATTCAGAAGTGACCAAAGTTGGAAAATATTTGAGAAATTCTACTCTTGTCAACCAGGAACAATTTCTAAGCTGAATATGAGTAGGAAAACCACTGAGAAGTAGTGCAAGAAAGCGACCATTCAGTTCTCCTGAGAAACACAGCAAATTGCTAAGCTTTTGTTTCTGCTTATGGCTAACAGCAGCAAATAAAGCAAATGGATTAGAATGGTTATCGAGAAGTTTAAGAGTGAGTTGTTGCAATGATGGAACTCGAGGCTTTGTTGCAGTGATAGGGATATGGACATTGGTATGATTATCAGGGTCTGCAAAATTGTACAAGTGTATGCGTTGAGAAGAATGATGAGGAGCTTCTTGATGCAAAAGATGCCGGTTCAGAAGTTGAGTGAATGTATCATTTTGTTGATGCAGAATACGCTGGTAATCATGAGTATCATGTTGTTGATGCAGAAGTTGAGTGAATGTATGATCTTGTGGTTGTAGATCAAGAAGTTGAGTGAATGTTGGTTGGTCGCTTGGATTTTGAAAGCCAAGGATGGAAGAAATTTCATCGTCAGAAGGAAGAGCAGAAGAATAACAAGAACCAGGTGGTTGTTGTTGGGTGGGACTGGTTGGTTCCATTTTGTGTGTTTGTGTTATGTTCTTGTTTTCGGAAATGAAACAAATGGAATGATCAAAAACTATAATGTCAATATATATTCAAATGGCTTTGTTGTTGGAAAACTATAATGGCTTTTGGGTTTCTTTTCTTGTTTAAGTTAGTTAGGTTAGTTATATATTTTTTTTTACTATTTGTGAAGAGTGAGACTTTGTTCTAAAACAATATTTGCAATAATGCTTTTTTGCTTTTTTTTTTTTTTAATAATTTTTTTTACATCTTCACACGTTTCATTTTGCTTTTTTTAATTAAATTAGTTTTATATTTTAATTTAGTAATAATTAGATATTTTTGTTGACATGTAAACTTCTTTAAGAGGTTTACACAAATTTTTGATAGATTTGTGGTCTACCACTTCATGAGAAATATTTTTTTGGGAGGTTTGCTTTGATAAGATCACGTAAAGAAAGCCACATACTCTTTAAAAAGCTCTACCATCCTCTTTTTAACATTTGACTAAAACAGTGTCCCAATCTTAACTTTTTTTTTATCTTTCTCTGATCCCAAATTAACCACTTATACCGGCTTTTCATGAGGCTGAATGGTCATTTCTTCGTCCTCAAACAACCGAGAAATTTCATCTGAAATTTCCTCAACATCATCTTCTTCAACTTTAAATACAGGGAATTCAAAGTTGAGAGAGGGCATAAAGACATTGTTTTAAGTGGGTTTAACAATCAATCTGCACAATGATATCCGCTTGAATTTAAGAAACAAATAAATGTGCAAGAATCATGCATATATTGAAATTATTATCATTATATTTATTTTTGGTTTTTTATGTTACCATTTTCCAGAAAAGCAAAAAAAAAAAAATACACATGGATAAGCAAAATATCATTTTATTTATGATAATAAAGTTTGAAACAAGCCCTCACAAATTCACTTTCACCTTGGGCATAGTGAAAGGATATTTGAAAAACACAAAATCAATTCACTTTGAAGAGTGGACAATTGTAGGAATGTTCACAGCTGTCCAATTGTGGCAGACCACTCAGTGAGTCACGAAGTTCGGCATATCACCCTCTAAGTCATCTTCAATGATAGCGGTAACAGTTTGGTCTCTAGAGTGGATGAGCTCAACACTATAAAAAATGTCTTAGTAGTGCTTCAATTGCCTTCTAGTTGTCCCAGGAGAGAAACACAGGTCAACTATATTCTTGTTTTCAGCAAGTTCAATGAGTCTGCCCCCAACCCACAGACTGACCGTTCTCAACAACATGTTGTGCATCTTTTAGAGAAGAGATTGATGCCCCACTCTTTGTTTCAACATTGCCAACAATGGATAGGGCTTGGAATGGAGTTCCCACAACCTCGTCAACGTCAATATAGGAAAAAGATGACAAATGGCTCACCAGCATAGCCTGTTCTCCACCTACCATAACAAGTTTCCCATTCTTTACAAATTTCAGCTTTTGGTGGAGTGTAAAAGTGACAGCTCCGACTTCATGGATCCATGGTCTTCCTAGAAAACAACTGTAGACGGGACGAATATCCATAGCATTCATTTCTCGTGAATAACACAAAAAATTGCTAAGCCTTTGTCTTTGGTCATTACTAACACCAACAAGTAAAACTACTGGATCAAAATGGTTATCAAGAACATTAAGAGTGAGTTGTTGCAACTATGGAGCACGAGGCTATGTTGTAGCGGTAGGGATATGGACACTGGTATGACTATCAGGGTCTACAAAACTGTACAAGTGTGTGCCTTCAGAAGAATGATAAAGAGCTTCTTGATGCAAAAGACATTGGTTCAGAAGTTCAGTGAATGTATTATTGATGTAGAAGGCCAGTGAATGTATCATCTTGTTGATGCAGAAGTTTAATGTATGCATCATGTTGATGCAGATCAAGAAGTTGAGTGAATTTTGATTGGTCGCTTGGATTTTGAAAGCCAAGGATGGAAGAAATTTCATCGTCATAAGGAAGAGTAGAAGAATAAGAAGTAGGTTGCTGGGTTGGTTCCATTTTGTGTGTTTGTGTTATGTTCTTGTTTTCAGAAATGAAACTAATGGATTGATCAAAAACTATAATGTCAATATATATTCAATTGGCTTTGTTGTTGGAAAACTATAACGACTTTTGAGTTTCTTTTCTTATTTAAGTTAGTTAGGTTAGTTATATATATTTTGTTTTTACTATTTGTGAAGAGTGAGGCTTTGTTCTAAAACAATGTTTGGAATAATGTTTTTTTTACATCTTCACACGATTCATTTTTTTTTTTTAATTAATTTAGTTTACACAAATTCTTGATAGATTTGTGGTCGACCACTTGATGAGAAATATTTTTGGGAGGTTTGCCTTGATTATGCATATAAAGTAATTCATATCCAATAGGATTATCAACATTATATTATAAATGATAAGAGAGCTTACTTACCTGACTTATAATCTTAGAATATGGGTCATTAGATATTGGAAAGGGCTAGTCACGGTTTTAGATTTTTTTAAAAATAACCATATTTTTCAAAGTATATACTAAAATATCAACGTTTTCAATTTATTTACTAAATTAATCATGTTTTAGTTGGACGAAAAGAGGAGGCGCCAACCCTTATAGCACATGTTTTGATTAGTTATACATATGCGTCATTCATCATGGCACATGCATATACTTGTCGCCACTATAATTGACACTATTATCATGTGAAGTAGAGTACATAACTGCTTCCCTCTGTGCATATCAAGCAACGTGGATGGTGAATTTGATCAAAGAGATTACAGGGAAAGATCATGGAGCAATTACCATAAAGATCGACAACATGTCTGCTATCAATTTGGAAAAGAATCCAATAACACTTGACAGAAGCAAGCACATGGAAATAAGGTTTCATTATCTTTGAGAGCAAGTGGCAAAAGCAAAGTTGAAATTAAAATACTACAAAACTGAGAATCAGATTGCAGACATCATGACGAAAGGAATGCATGTCAAAGTGTTCAAGAAGGTAAGATCTATGATGAAAATAGATAGCTTAGACACAATGAATTAGGCGGTGTTTTGAATTGTAATTCCTTGTGTCGAAACATGTTGCTCGACAGGAACAAGGAGATGTCGAAAAGCTATATGTGTCTATTTGTATTAACTATCAAAATGTCGAAAGAAGTGTGTCTTCAACATATTCGTTAGACTTAGATTTATTGTTTAAAGCTGAGTTAGTTAACTTGTTAGAGATTGCTTGGAGTGCTGATCGCGATCTTACGAGTCTATCGGATGATCTAACTACAAGTATACAGTCTATCGCGTAGTTTTAAAAGATATTGAACCCACAAAGACTAATAATTAATATACTGTTATCAATTGATGCTATGTAAATTTAAGGCTAGTGATTAAAAGGTTTGGATGGAAATAAAATGTAAACTGCTGAAGGTTTAGAAATATAATAATAAAGAGAGGCCGAAATATGGATTCCATGTTCCTCAGGGACTCTGTAAATTTTAGGCGTTAAATTATAGTTAAATTACATTCTATAGAAAGTATTAGTTTAAAGACTCTATCTCACACTCTCGTGCTATTGACTAAAGTCACACTCCCTAACCATGAGATTTTGCTCTCGCTCGCCCATTTTAATTAAGAAGCGTATTTTGAAAACTAATTAAATCCTAATCGATACCTAAAACGCTCTCACTGTATTTAGGATCGATGCCCAGTTTCCACTATCCGGTTCAATCCTAACACTCTCGCGCTATCGGCTCGAACCTTAATTTGCTTTTCACTCTTGTGACAAAACATTAAGACTTAAACTTGGAAACTAAAGCCAAGACAAAATTTACTAACATTTTGCACCTATTTTCACTACTGAGTCCCGTAGGCGACGATGGTCCTCATAAATCGATCTCAAATACGTTTAGCCAGACATTAAATTAAGCATAAACAACTTAAACATGGTATTTGAATGTAAAGGCAACATGTTATTAAAGTGAAGGATGTGATGAACAATAATAAAAGCAATATTAATAAAAATCTGTAAAAGTAGAAGTAAAATGCGGGAACTTGAAATAACCAAGAAAATGCTTGATTAATGTCAGCAGGCTTTTTGATCCAAGAGTACAAAAATTAAGAAAAAAAGAATTATGGCAATCTCTCAATGCGAGTGATTGTCACTTTTAACGGTAATATATGCCTAAGACTAGAACAGAAAAACAACAAAGCTTCCATACTATCTTGGATATCTCAAAACTATGAAAATTGCCTCTTATATAGAGGTTCTAAACTAGAAAATCGCCTCCAGAACGTGTATGGGAAGTTGAGACAAAGTAGGAGAGTGGGAGAGAGAGAGTCCAAGCAGAAATCACGTTTTATATTGCTGCATGATAATGGCGACCACCATTAGGCTAATGGCGAACGCCATTTACTTGATTAGTGAGTGACGTGGACTAGGTACATGGAGAACGCCATTAGGGCCATGGCGAATGCCATGTACCAGAAATGTGATTTTTCTACACTTTCTTCTTCTTTTCTGCACTTTTTCTGGTTTCTTCGCGTGGTAGCTCCATAATTTATTAAAACCTAAAATGCAAATAGAATACGACATAAAAGCGATAAAACATAATAAAATGACATCAAATAACATGCAAATCAAGTAAAAAAACATGATACATTTTCACATTATCAAGTACAAGTAATCTCAGTCTATAAATAAGGAGGTACCCTATTATTGATTGTAACACAACACAGAAGTGTAGTTGCATAGTTGAATAGGAAATCTCACTTTGAGAACAGAGAGAAACTCTGTAGAATTTACAACTCTTCTTCTTCCCCTTTCATGTTGAAATCCTAATTCCCTTTCTTCCCTAATTTTATCTTTTATTTCTTCTTTCAATTACCAATTGTGCAATGAAGTTCTCTATAGGTCTTGGTAAATTTCCAACAATGTGATCTCAACTTTCCTCTTAATAATCTCATTTAAAATTTTTTAAAGGGGATGCAATAGTTATTAAAATTTCGAACGATGATAACATG